AGGCTGGTCATGAGCTCAGGCAGTCCACCCAGCTCAGCCTCCCAGAGTGCTAGGATTACAGATGTGAGCCATCATGCCCACCCAAAAACAGCAAATTTATATAATTCAGACAAACAATAATAGCTGACGTTCATTTACTGTGTGTCAGGCCCCATGCTAGACATTTTGGAAGCTCACGTCACTTAATCCATACTCAACTCTCTGTTTTGTAAGGACCTTGGGATAAGAATGGATAAGGACCTTGAGGCTTACAGGGGTTGTCTGGGGTTGCACAGGTGACCAGTTGGGCTTGGGTTGAACAGCCAAGGGCCCACCCTGGCTCAGGCTTCCCTGGTGGCTGGGCCTCCCTCAGCCAGCCCACCCCCACCGCTACCGCCCACCCAACACAGGCACAGAGAAGAATCCAGCCTCTGTGCCCAGCGGCGCCACCAGCCTGCAGTCCAGGGCGGTTTGTTTTCTTAACAGGGTTAACCAAACCTCCTGAACAGCCTTTGCTGGCGCAGCAGAAGCCCTGCTGTTGAAAGGGGGCTTTGTGTGCCCAGAGGCAGAGGGCGAGGGCCCTAGCCAAGCTGCAGGCCAAGGCAGGAGCAGGGACGAATTGGGGGGATATCTTCTCCCCAGCTCTTCCTGCCCTGTGCTCAGACCTGGGTCCTGCCTCCAAGCAGCAAGCTATGGGCTCCACACTTGTCCAGAGCAGCAAACATGTTCCCCAACCAGGCGCAAGAGTGTCACCAAGGAACTTGTCAAAAATGCCCACTATTGGGCTCCACCCAGGCCTAGCACTCAGAGAAATCCAGTCAGGGCACTACAATCTAAGATGTAATAGAGGTGATGATAATTGCTAAAATTTGAAAACAATCATAATTTAATATGGAAATACCCTGGCCAAGAAAATGTGATTAAGGGAAATTTCAGGCAACTTTCTCTCACCAACTTTACATTTATATCCTAAATAGTGATAGAGAAAAGACAAAAGGTTTGTATAGGAAGACAGTTTCTTTTTTCTTTCTTTCTTTTTTTTTTTTTTTAGAGACAGTCTTACTTTATTGCCCTCGGTAGAGTGCTGTGGCATCACAGCTCACAGCAACCTCCAACTCCTGGGCTTAGGTG